GAGGACACTGTCTGGATGCAGGGAGCTTGGCCAGCTCTCTGTCCAGAGCTGACTTACTGCCAGCAGATGCCAGGTCTGCCATAAAACTCAAGAGTGGCAGTTTTTTTATCTCCCAGAGTGGGGCAGTACCATATCCCAGACAGAAATTTAGAGAGAGTTTTGCTCCTCTCTGCCTGTTGGCATTCCTCTTAGCAGGTGATGGTGCAGAGCCCTGGCACACTCATCACAGGGCTCCATTCTGGTGCTAACAGCTTCCCTCCATTCTGGGCAGCAGTTTCCCTCTGCTAGGATCCACCTCCCATGCTGTAAACACTCTGCATGAGACGGACAGCAAAACAACAAAGAAAGCATCAGAGACATGAAAGTGGGTGTTGTACAGCTGATGGATCCACATGGGCACTAATGGGCTGCAAAGGAGCATGACCCAGGTAGCTGCTAAACCTCAGTGATCTACTGCTCACATGCAAACTTCACTGGAAAAATAACTAGCTGTACCCACGAGAAAGAAAGCAATCTGGAACTCCAGTGGAAAACAACTGGAGAGATGGTCTAGATGGGAGATGGTCATCAGAAAGCAACCTTACAATGGGTACTGAAAATTATCAAGAATATGGGGTTTTTACTGGACATTTTAAAGAAAGATAAGAAAGAAAATGTTTACACAGTAAACCTTCATGCTTCAGAGGAGGAGGGATCCCAGACTTTTTAAAGAACACTGACCTAAGGCCAAAGTCATAGCAAAAATGTTGGTTTGGTTCTGATGGTCTAAGGGTGTGAGCACCAAGGTTCATAGGGAGAGATATTAATCTTTCATTAAACCAACCAACACAACTGAAAATAATAATAATAAAAAAAAAAATCAGAGAGGCTTTGTGTACCTAAAATTCATTCTTTTTCCCCCTTCCAACAATATCATGTGTTCTATTAAAAGATATTACTTCTTCCTGAAAACCTTGTCTGTCCCAAATCCAAACAATGTTCCAGAGTAGTGAGGACAGAGAAACAGGGAGCATTTTTGTTATTATGTTTATCTATCTCTGTGTTGCTAGAAATACGAAAACACTTTCAGAGCCCTTTGCAAGTCCTTCATGTGTCTTTTTTTGACAAGCAGGTGTCCTCTGTGTGATGAACTGTGACCACAAGAACACTCAGCACAAACCTCTGGGAAAGGATGGAACTAAATCCCCAAGAGGTTTCCATCCCACCCCAGGATTTGGGGCAGGATGCCAGAAGGGCAGAATAGAGGAAATACGGACAGAGGAATGTCTTAATGATGTTTAATGCCTACATAGATCCCTCCTCTATCTGACATGCATCTTCACTGATGATGTCCTACCCATGTTAGGACATTACCTTGGGAGTTCTTAAGGAGTCTTGATTACAATTTAAGACTGTGTTCTCTTCTAAAGATGAAGAAATGCTGCCCTTTTCCTGGCCAGTGACCACGATTTTGTTTTGGAATTGAATTATGCATTTTGGGGGACAAATGAAAATTATTTGTATTTTACTGGAGTTTGGGTGGGTTCAGAGCCACAGAAGGGCTCTTGGAGCAACCAAACCCCTATCTGCAGGGTGAAAGAGAAGCTGGGAATTCTAATCTCCGCCCTGAAGATGCCTCCAGCTCTGACACTCCTCCCCCAGACACAACAAAAGCCCCCAGCTCCCTGGACAGCACCGGGCAGGCACAGTGTGCCTGACTTGCTGAAGTCTCCATGCCACACTCAGCATGGGTGAGGCACAGTGTCCCTGACCTGCAGCGTCCCACCACCTGCTGTCACAGTCCTGAGTCATACCTAAAAAAAGTCGCCTACTCACACAGTTTTTTAAAGAAAACAACAAGGAAAACGAAATCCGCCCAAACCTTTTCTCTGCAGTATGGATATTTTCCATCCTGCCTTCCCACAGAGACCCACACCAAAGATTGCACAGCACGTTACACAACACAGCACAGAAACGCTTCTTCAGCATCCCCGCCTTTTCTCTTCACACAGAAGCTGGGCTACTTCTCTCTGTCTCCCCAGTTCCTCCACTTTTCTCCGCTTTCTAATCAGATGCTGATCCACCTCTCCCCACCACTTCCACCTCCACAACCATCTTCTCTCCATCCTGTCTTGTTGAAAGGAGGTTTAAAGGAAACAGCTGACGGGATCCCTCTGTGATGCAGGAGGAAAAGGACGCATCTGTCTTCAGGCAGAACATGGAGAGCCTTGCAGAGAGGGGAAACAAGCCTCTCTGCTGCTTTTGTTACTCAAATATTTGTTTTCTGTATCCAAATGTGCAACAGAAAATTAAGCGGCTCACCTTTGTTAAAGCACTTTTGCATCCCACAAATGCTGGAGCCAGATGGTGTTCTTTCTTTGTCTTAAAAGATTAAAACATGGGAAAGAAAGAAAATGCCTAGGAACAAATTCTCAGCCTGGAACATGCTCATATATCCCACTTAAGATATCATATATCCACATGCCCAATTATCCAGGCATGTGGGGCCTGCGCAGGAGCAAACACAGGGACAGGGCAGACTGAAGTGAGTCTGCTTGCAGAGAGCTCCAGACCTGTCACTTTGTGTCAGCTTGGAGGTGGAATCTTTCCCCGTGTTTCCAGAAAATGACAAACTACAGTTTTTCCCAGGGCTGCAGCTGGGACACACCAAGCAATATTTTCTAGAAACCATATGAAGCAGAACTTTACTCCAGGTCCTACTGGTGGCAATGGCAGGCATAAGGGGAGAGGTGCCATACACAAACACCAGGAAACAGACTTGGGAACTTCACCAGGAAGGTTGTAGATGTGACCAGGGGCAGCATCAAAGTCTTTAAAAGTTCAGATCTTCAGCCACATCTCCACCTTTCATAGGTGAGACCCAGGAGCAGGTCAGTTCTCCCATCTGAGCTTCTTCGCTCATTTGCTGGGAGGAGTGTGGTTGGACTGTGGCTGGAGGAGGGATGAAGGACACTTGGCCTCTGCACTTCTGCTCTTTGCTGGCCTGGGTAGGCTGCCCAGCTCTGCCACTGACTCCTGCTTTGGCCTTCGGCCAGTCACATAAACCCTCTGCCCCTCATGCCACCAGTGTAAGTGTGGGCAATCAGAACCTTGTTTTGCTAGGACCCTTCTTTGGACTTTAGGAGAGAAAAGGCCTCCATGAATGAAGATAGTGAGCAAGAGTTTTAAAAGTACTAAAAATAAGTGAGAAAGGAAAATCAGTTAAGAACAAAAGGCTGGGCTGGGCTGAAACTCAGCTCGTTCTGGTAAACAGGTGATAACTAGTTACTACTTTAGTCATACATGGCAATTTGTCTATGTAGAGAAAAGTCCACTAAAAAGACTTACAACACTGCATGAGATATCACGGAGCAGTCCTCAGCAAAGCACTTTGCACAGACAGGATGAGGTCTACAGGACACCACCATAGAGAAGACGAAAAATCCAACAACAACAAACTGTGGAAATCATCTCAGTTCTCACTTTTTGGGGGCCCTCCCAGCCTTCACATGTCAATAACAGCAAATTCTCCCACCGCACAGAGAGCTCTCAGTGCTGCAGGAACACCAGCTCAGCTGGGATTGTCCCCAGAAGTGTGACACTGGCTGTGGTTTGGGGCAGGACTAGCAGGGCTGAAGGGAAGAAGGCAGGCAAGAACATGGGCAATCACATGTGCTGCTCCTCATCTTCCCCTGGGCTCTTCTCTTTCCTACTCGCTTCTTCCTGAAGTTTCAGCTGCAGTGGGACCACAGCACCTCTCTTTCCTCATCACTGCCCAGTAACTGCACTGACACCTTTTCCCAGCACAGGTTTTTCTGCTGCACAGTGAAGATTGTTTCCCTCACTGGTAATTAAACTTAGTGGTAAGCCAATGTTCTGGCCTGGGAGAGGTGATATGTCTCAGCACAAATCTGATCACGTTTCTCCTCCTCCCAAACACAGTAACTCTACTTGGCAGCTGTCTATCACATAATGAAAACTTTCTGAATCAGATCAAGACCATAGGTCAACCCTTTCACGGGTAGCTGATAGAAATCATCCTCAAAGCCAAAGATCCATGTTGTAAGCAGAAATAAACCAGCCTTAGTCCAAGCAACAGGCTGGAAACCACGGTTCCATAGCCTGAAAAGCCCTTCCCTGTTGGTGGATGGTCCAGAGACAAATACCTACTCCAGTGTGTTTCAAACATTTCACACATCACATCATCTCCTGTAGCTGGGGAAGGGTAAGAAACACTCTGTTCCCTCAGGAAGGCTGCCATCCTGGGCGGGCAGGACAGTGCAGACAGGTACAAAGGGAGTGTGCAAGACAAGGGGACAGTGCGAGCACAGATCACACAAGAAGAGGCTGGAAAGGCGTTCCTGGCTCATTGAGTCTGTCCCCAGAGACAAGTGCAGGATTAGCCTCTCCACTAAACCCAGGCATTTTTATCTAGTTGCTTCCTGAATTTCTTTAATGACAGGCTTTCAGCAACCTACCCTTGGCAAATTATTCCATTGTCTAAATGATGACCCTGCTGGGAAAAAAAGTGTTCTGAGGTCGAACCTAAATTGACTATTATTTCCTCTTCCATATTTTATGCACTTATCAGTGAGTCTTTCAGTTGCTTTTCCTCTATGTCCCTGTATTAAGTTTCTTTAATCTAACACCAGAGGTCACAGCCTGTAGTCTTTATCATCTCTTTGGATTACCTTTAATTTATCAATGTCTTCAAAAAAAAGGGAATAAAAATAGGCAGTAAGTATGGGATGACTTCAGAGCCATCCCAAAGCATGTGACTGTGTGCTGGGGTATCACAAAGAGTCTATGTGTAGGCATCTGCATGGATGTCTGAACTACAAGCATGGCCAGGACTGAACAGGAGTAAGGATGTTTAGGGATGCCTGATCAACATCTGTGCACATATTTCAATGAGGAAATAACGAAGCAAGTGAGCCCTAGGGCTCCAAAAACTGATTTACTGTAACATTTCCTAGTCTCCCTCTGCTCTGAGCATCAGACTGCTGCTGGAGCTGCCTTACCCTGTAGTAATCAGTGCTGTAGACATCTCTTGACATCCCAAAGTCTCCAATCTTCACCAGCAGGTTGGCTCCGACCAAGCAGTTCCTGGTGGCCAGGTCTCTATGGACAAAGTGCTGGGAGGCAAGGTACACCATTCCAGAGGCGATCTGGCTAGCGATGTGGAGCATCTGGGATAGCCCTAGCTCCCCTTTGGCTTGTCGAGGCTGCCCATCCACGAGGATCATAGCGTCTGGGCCATGTGCCCTAAAGGGAGGAAGAAGCAAAAAGCATAGAGTTGCGTCTCAGAAGTGACCAGGAGATGGGAATCCCACACGGTCACTGTTCCTGCTGGAGTGGGGACTCGATCCCAGCTCTGCACCGTGAGGATGTACACACAGCTCCAGTGGAAAGGAAGAATGAAAGCTTAAGAGAACAGGAACTTGTGGGAACATTTGGTGGGTGAGTGGGTGCCTTACATCCTTATGCTATTCTTAGTCTACTGCACACAACCTCTTGTGGCCACAGAATGCCAAAACAGTGGGACCACTGGCTTGATGCAACATGGACACTCTTCTCTGGCAAGACCTGTGCAGAACTAATGAGCCTTAGGATATTTACACGTTAATTCTTACACCTTTGATAAGTTCCCAGAGGCAGAGATATCACCCACTTTTCTTCCACATCTGTCATATTCTTGCTGCCTAATATCTTAAACAGTCCCAAACAGCCTCCTTTTCTTTCCTTCATATCACCAACCAACCACCCCCTCATTGATATTCGTACATCCAGAGATCACACAAAATGTTTCAAAGGAACACCAGCAGCTTCATCCCTGGAAAATCCCTTTTATATCCTAAACTATCCCAAAGGTAACACAGGTACTGTGAACTGTGACAGCATGAGCACAGGTGCAAAGTTTAGCCCTGGCTGTCAGCAGATGCAGAAAACATCCTGTGCAACAAAAGGAAATATTTTGCTGAACCAGGTGCATTGTAAATGCAGGACTTTAGGTCAGTCTAATTCCTGTTCTGTCCTTTTTTTGTCTCCTTCCTCACTATGTACCAAGCCTTTCTGTGCCATACTCCCTCTGTGATGTCTCTTCCCCTGATAGAGCTCACCCTATGGTAACTTGTGTGAGGGTAGAATAACAAAAGCCCTTGTATTTAGGGAAATGCAAGAAATGTTGCTGTGACCTTCCTTCTTGTGACTAAAACACAGTACAGCATTTCCTCTGAGGCTTTCATACTGTTCTCTTTGAAATTATTCTTGGCATTTTACCCCTGTCATCAGCAGTAACCCCACAGAGAGACAGCAAATTGAAACTGCACATTCAGAGCTTCCCCTCCTCCTTGACATGGGACTGAACAACACACCACAAGATCCAAACTGTTTCCCACCTTTATCTCTGTTCCTGAATTGTGTTGGGCTTGAGGGTGCACCAAAGAAATGAGCATCCAGATGTCTGGGGTTCAAGCATCAGTTTTTCAAATGCCCCCCTCTTCAGCTACCTTCCCTACCACTGGGAATATGGCTCTAAAGGTCCTCTCCTGGTAGAAAGGACAGCTGGAAGAGGAGAGAAACTGCAGAAACAACTGCTGAGAAGCCAGGAGTGTTTTTTGGGAGCCATGAGTGGGTGGTGCTGCTGAATGTGGGGTGAGTTGTCTGGGAGCAGCAGTGTGAGCAGCAGAGCAGGGGCTGCCAGAGGCATCTCGGAGTCCTGTGGGTATGGTGGGAGCAGCAGCACACAGGAAGACTTGCTGAAGGAGCTGCAGAAGAGTGCATGCAGAAATGACTGTTTGATGTCTTATTTAAATAGCCCACAGACGTGTTTACCCCAGGAAACTACTTGGTGGTGACAACAAATGGTGACAGCAGGTGAAGCTGAGCCAGGACTGAGCAGGTTAGCTAAAAACAGCAAAGCAAAACAAACAATAGCTTCTAAAACTGTTCTGGACAGTTTGTGCCAGTCACGCCTTGCAGTTACATCATATTTAGCTACAGCTGATACCTGTTGTCATCAAAGGTAAACACTCCTAGGTGAGAAGTGAAGGATGTATTACTGTCTCATTACTACCACTTTTTTAAAATACAATAATGGCCCCCAAATAAGCGTCTGTGTCTGAGGGGAACATGTGGTGGTTAAAAAATGGTCAGTGAACACCTTTAATTCACCTGCTCTTTGTACAACCTACTATACAGGACACATCTCTCTACTACGTACATGTCCCTCCCTCCCTTTCTCTATCCCATATGGTTATAATCCAAAGGAAAGAATAATCAACACATTTATGATATAAACAGGAAGGATATTAGTACATTTAGATGTGTCAAGAAGCCTACAGGGAATATGAGGAGGGTATGTCCATCTTTTCCTGGGGAAAGGAGTTTAATTCAGCTTTAGAGAGGCCATAAAATTGGATGGATTTCCTGCTAAAGAACTACTGGAGGTTTTTTCCATTATGGAGTGATGGAGGTTTTTGGGAAAAAAAAATCACCCTTCTAACTTCCTCTTCTGAAATTCCTCTTCTGTCCCAAGACAGTCTGACTGTGGGGCTGCTTCACCGGAAGGGCTGGCACAAAAACACCAGAACTTTGCAACTTTTCTAACAAAACCTATTGCCTGTATGAGTGGCAACGACTTACTACAGACTGCAGAGAGGGTCTGTAATGGCAATGTGCAATTATCCCTACTTCAAAATTCCTTCTGTCCCAGACAGAAAACAAAAGCTAGAAAACCAGTGACAAAGGTGAAGGGGGGAAGTGATGGACACCCCTGGTGAGCAGAGAGGGACGTGGTCACTGCAGACCCCTGAGCAGCGGGGGTGTGTGCTGGGAACACCCAGCCTTGCCTGCCACCCACCCACCCTGGCAGACTCCAGCCCCTGTGCACACCATCCCTAGGGATGTGGTGCTCCCTGGAGAGGAATGCCTGTATTTCTCCACGTCAAGATCGTGTCTATTGATATTTTCTATGAGGCAGGACACCACAAGTGCAGTCTCCCCTGGTGCAGACAGCAGGGTTTGTTTTTGCACCCCCAGCAATAGTCTTACACACAGGGGCTCTAGGAGGTGTGCAGAACCATCCCAGTGCATGCCACCACTAACTCAGCAGGTAGGTGTTGATCCTAGTGCCTTCCTTTTTCACACCAGTCAATGTTACAGACCAGTAAAACTCTCTGTTCTCTAGGAAGCACACAAGGATCTAAAAACACTTAGGGGAATTTATTTATTGTGCTTTTCTCTAGGAAACTGAGTCTAAAGTGAGCCTCTTCCATTTTACTGCTTTTTCGATTTCTGCAGTTAAACTGGGAAAAGTCCATCTGAGTGCCTGTTACAGACTCCCAGCATCCCCAGCCTCCAGTGTCTGGGAGTCACTGTCTCCTGCTGCGGGCTGGGTGAATCATCACACTATAAAAACTGCTGCTTGCTGAGGGATGCTAGGCAGCTCTGCATCATCAACCCTTTCTTACCCCCTTGCAGTCCCCATTCCACGGCCTCCCACCAGCAGATACCTGATCTGACAAACAAACCCACAACTCTCTTTCCATATGTCTCCTTAGGCACTTTGAGTTTCTGTTTGCTGGGTATAAGCTCCCTTGCTCCCAAAGCCAGCTTCCTTTGGGACGCAGAGGGGTTTCACTGCCCACCACACACCAGCATGCAGAGAAGAGAGCATGGAACTGTTTTCTCCAAGGCTGCACAGGAAGGAGAAGCTGGCAGCTAAATGCAGCTGGAAGATGAGGAGCTGCAATCCCAGGGACCACACATCTGGAATGTCTCTTT